AGTATTTTTAGTCAACTCTCAAGCAAAATCACACAGATACAAAATTGCAAAACACACAAACACCAAAGACAAGCAAAATAGAAAAATGGATGCCGGGCTGCCGCGGTGGATAAAGTATAATGGCGGAAAGTGAAACAGTGATGTTCGGCAGGAAGCAATGATGCCACAGGCTCTGAAGCCTATCTGCCAGATTTTACGTATAAAAAGTGCAAGGTATCAAAAATTACAGTTTTGACAAAATTTCTATCAAAATTTTTATAATGCAGGAAAATACAATAAAAGCTGCAGATTTTCCATATTTATCCATTTCATAATAGGATCAAACCATATTACCATTTCGAACTAAAATCACAAACAAAATTTATTCAAGCAAAAAACAAAGTTTGGAACCCAAAAGTAAATGAACTCTCATATCGTACTGCTTCTTATTCTTTATACAGAAACGTTTTCAGTGAGCAGACTTGTCCACCAAACCTAACTACATGGTTCAAAAAGTGATTAGAATCACAATCTATTTGACAGTCTAAGTTCCGTAAAAAATGATGTGTTAGAGGGAAAACGGTCCAGATTTCTAAGTGTCCAAGGCGCCACTCTATCTTAAAAAGGATCAGATCTAGCCACATCGGACCACCTGTGGCAACGCTGGCGACAGGTCACATGGCACGTCAACGCCACCAAGCGAAAAATGGGCAAAAATAAAATCCTAAGCTAGAACGTTTATCGTTGATGTTCTGGCGCGTTATTTGATCTTTTCTCAAGGACTCACGCGGGCACTTACAAAATTTCAATCACTGATGAAGGCATATTTCAATTGTCGGTAAACAAGTAACTTTAATACATTGTTTATCCGTCAACCGCGGTCCGTTGAATTTTGTGCCCTGCCGCATTCATATGGAACGACCACACGGTACATAAAATTTCACAATTTTTAATCATTTTAGACAAAACCGATGTTAAATGATGCAAGTTTGTCGGTTTACGGTATTGGCTTTTACTTCTGTTAAAACTTCAAACTCATTATTTCTAGAATTTCACCGAGCAAAAATATTACATCTAAGATACATAAAAAATATTTATTGGATATTTTGTAAATAACAGATATTTAATATTTTCCATTCGTCAAAAAAATATTTAGTGAATATTTCAAAAGAACTATTTAATTCAAAATATATAACAAATGTTTAATAAATATTTGGTACTAATATTATAATCCAGATATTAAATATTTGTTTAACATAACATATATTTACATAAGATAAAAACATTATCCAATATTAAATAAATATTTAATGAATATTTCGTGCTATCGGGGACCCTATAATAAATTTGTACAAAAATATAGTTTCTTAGTTGTTTTACCATATTCATCCTAAAAAAGTTAAGCTCCTTGTTAAATGCATTATTTTTATTTTATCAGGCGTAGTATTTTACTATGTACTGTAATTTAAATATCAAAATATCGTGCTACTCCTGATGTTACCCCAAAATACCTAGAAACACACTATTTATACATTTGGAAATCTATAAACAATTGTTTTATGTGTATGTGCAAATTGCGGACGCGAGATATAAACGATTGAAAATTTGATAACAATTCGTAAAAATACAAATTTTCATAAGGCATAAACGCTACCAATAATATTTTGTTTGAAATTGCACGTACGATGGGATTATTTATCGGAATCACCTTTAGCTATTTGGCAAAAATTTTTACGCCTTAATTAAATCTTATGTTTTGTCATTGGTATTCCTCAATATTTTATTTAAAACTTCTTTTTTATATCATTCTAACACTATAGAGGTAGCAAAAACATCCGGTGGTCTGGCAACACCGCAATCCAGGTGATAAGAATTATAAGGTCAGCTGTCAAAACTTATGAAATTTTCATTTGAATTTTTTAAGTGTGGTGCAACGATTTCGGGAAACATTTCTCTTCGAATGGTCTTGTAGAGCCTAGTAGAGTATACAGGTATTTCAACAGTTGTCTTGCGTGGCCATGTTATCTTTACTCGGGCCAACCTCTCTCCAGAAAGGTACATAAATAACCCGACGGCAACAGCTAATAGATATACTTCATTGGCAGCATGTCTACTACCTAGTCTTCAAGACGGCATTTTGTGGTTTTTTTATTTTATGACGTTTTTCTTGTTTCCCTGCGGTCTGGTTTATATGCAATCTATCCGTATTAGGGCGAAAAAAATTTATACACGCAGATGTGGAAAGGAAAAACATTTCCAGATGGATAATAACTACCATAAGGGCAGATAAAGAATGTATAATATGGAATAATTGTGTAGGCCTATTTAACTGACTTGACTCGTTTACTTGCTCTGTTGTACATGTCGTTAATTGGGTTTTTTCTTAGTGAATTTAAATTGCGCTGAAGTTGATTATTTATGAACTAATGGCGTTGTGTAGGAAGCTCAGAGTCAACCCACTTGACGCCATTTTTTTATGATAACTTTTAATATACTAAGTGACATATATCCGAACACCCAGTTTAAATGGTTTTATTTTAATAAAATTTTGTATAAGTACTTAATGAAGCATAATAAGTAAATGATAAAAATTTCAAAATGATTGCACTGCTTTAAAGCCCTTTGACCTTTAATAATGTGTGGATGCACCCTGATGTGCTACGCATTCTCCAACGCGCCTAGGCATGCTTCTGATCAGGTGGTCAATGTCCTCCTGTGGTATCTCATTCCAGGCAACCACCAACTCCTCTCGAAGTGCTTCTAGAGTCTGAGGAGGACGTTGCAAATTGAGCAATCTCCTTCCCATCATATCCCACACGTGCTCAATTGGGGATAAGTCGGGAGATCTTGGTGGCCATGGTAACAATGTGACATCATTATGTTGAAAGAAGTCTATTGTGACTCTTGCAACATGTGGTCGGGCATTATCTTGTTGGAAAGTTGGATCTGCCAGGGTGTCAAGATAGGGTAAATGATGGGGTTCTAGAACTTCGTGGATATAACGCTGCGCGTTCATGTTACCTCTGATGAAGATTAAAGGTGACCTGGAACCATAAGCTATAGCACCCCAAACCATAACTCCAACAGTGTGATGAACATGTCTTTCAACAAAAAACTGTGGATTCCTCCTTTCACCACGTCGCCTTCTAACCCTGGCACGACCATCCTGCATGCCTAAACAAAATCGAGACTCGTCACTAAAGACAATACTGTTCCATTCCTGATCCCAGAGTGACTGTTGTCTGCACCACTCAAGGCGATTACGTCTGTGTTCTCGAGTTAAAGGGAGGACCCAGTGTGGCCGGTATGAAAACAAGCCAAAACTTCTCATTCGTCGGTAAAAACTTCGCATGCCAATAGGTCTTCCGTGTTCTGCAGACCATTCATTTGCAATGGACCTGGTAGTGGAGAAACGGTCCCATAAGGCCAATAATCTTAGGCGGCGATCTTCACGTCTGTTGTTCTACGGCGGCGTCCAGTGCCCCTTGCTCTTTGCGTACGGCCTTCTCGAAGCCATGCCTGACAACACCTAACCAGTGTCTACACTTCTTTGCACTCTAACTGCAATTGCCCGAAAAGAAAGTCCAGCTTCCCGAAGTCCCACTATACGGCCCCTATCAAACTCACTAAGTTGACGAAATCGTACAGGTCTCCGTACTCTAGGCATCGTAACCGATCGTAAAGGATGTCAAGAACCAAAATCCGCCAACGTTGATTTTTTACTGCGGCTGAAATATTCATTTTTAGAGCGTTAGTGAATTAAAAAAAGGCAGTATAAAACCGGAATGTCCAATTGATAAGGCTGAAAATTTTTTCACCTGTTATTTACAGTAAGATAAATTCATTCACCAACTTTTATTAAAATAAAACCATTTAAACTGGGTGTTCGGATTTATATGTCACTTAGTATATGTACGCACGTTTATCGTTATCGTTTTTGTTTGTTCTATTGTTTTTTCATTGCTATATTTAAAGTTTTGGATTTTTAATATTTTTTTCACATTTTTTGTAGGCTCGAGGAAGGTGTAAAATAAACGCTGAAACGTTAAAATTTGATTGAAGGCATTTTTAATAAAAATTAAAGCGCGAAACAGACCTGGGATAAGAAGTTATTTGTTTTATATCACAAAGTAAGTTCATCCGAGGGCGAAAGTAGTCGTAGATCAAAACGTTCATAAAAATGAATGTCAATTAGTTTGCACAAAACTGCACATATAAATTATAAATTTCTTGGAACATATGGAATAAAAAAACATGCTACAAGTTTCTTAAAAAATGACCTGCGGGTTCCTCTACAGAGATACAAGACCTTAAGGCCTGATTTTACTATTGATCCGCGGGTTCTAAAATCTTAATACTGATTATAATAGACCAATGAGAAGGCGTCTTCTAGTAATATGGATCAAATGAATATAGTGGATTTCTTCTAAAATAACTGTCAAACTAATGAAACATATACGAGAAGTGTGATAAGGGCCTCTAATCCTCATATTGAATCAAGAATTTCTTTATAAGTCACCTGGATTAGCTATAAAACATATCTTTCCACTTGATCTGGAGATCAAAACCTATGATCCCGAACAACAATGACAAATTAGAAAGCGTTTTCGTGAAACTGCATCGAAAATTGGCCAATCGGAAACAAGTATCATAAACGCACTTTGTGGATGATGGAACCAAATTCAAAACAAACATAAGCACCTGAGAACATTGAAAAAAAGGATATCGGTTGTTAATTAGGTGAATATTTCAACAAATTTCTTAATTGTCTTCCATTATATATAATAAATTATTTATAAATGACGTAGTTTAGCTACAAAAATACTTGATCCGGAGATCAAAACCTTTTCAGGTCAACAACGACAAATTAGAAAACGTTTCACTGAAATCGGATAAAACATTAGCAAATTGGACACAAGTAGCATAAACCCACCTTGTAGATGATAAAACCAAATTCAAAACAAATATAAGCGCCTGAGAAAATAGCAAAAAATGATATATCGGTTGGCAATTAGGTGCAGATTTCAACAAACTCCTCAATTATCTTCAATTAACGTATGTTTCTGCTGCTGAGCCTAATCCGCATGTGGTCATTCAAGGTAGGTAGATATATTTCTGGGTTACAGTTTTAAATACCTTTATCTGGTGTAGACGAATAGAATTTTAGAAAAAATGTTAGAAACCAAATAAGAAATTACTATAAAAATAAAGGTCTGTAATAAGATAAAGCACATATTATAAGCTACACTACAGATAATACTCTCACCTATAATTCCTGGTTTCACTGTTAACAGCGCCATCTGAGTTGATTGCGCCGAACAATAACCCATGACAAACGTAACTAAAACGATTGTTTACAAGATTCTGATCAGTCACACTTGCGCCATGTGTTATCCACAGATTGCATTATATTGATAAACTGATGTATATATACATGGTGTTTTAGTAGTAGTTAAAAATGAATTATGCACTTGGAGTTGCTATTTTTCAAATGTTTTGTAACTCGTGACAATGCTGATAAAGTTCATCAAAAGCTTGAGAAAAGAAAGTAAAACGAGTACCCATTGCTTTAATTTTGTTGACGTACTAAAGGCTGAAGCTTGGCTCACCTATATAAGAGAAAATGATCATGCGGAGAAAGGAAAAATAGGAACATAATGGGCAAATCCCCAAAAAGAAGAAAAGTGGATTCGAGCAGAAAATAGAATAGGAAACACGAGCAATACGTATGTCTGCTTGTTGGCTTCAGCAGGCCCGAAATGAATGCACATATGCAACCACAAAGGTAGATACATGCCCATACATCTGGATACGGGTGTAACCTGAGGAAACGAAGATGGAGAATGAAAAAAAGACACACGAAGTCCCCAACAAGAGCCAACCTAAACATTGTAGTATAAAATGGCTAGAAGACCTCTAGTTCGTTTCCTCAGGTTACACCCGTATCCGGATGTGTAGGCATGTGTATCTACTTTTCGCTGGGCGCCATCTTGGAAAAAAAATTATATGAAAACGGGGGTCTTGTGGCACATCATTTTGAAGCTCTTGACGAGTACTTTATAACCCTAGAATATAAAGTTGATATCTTTACATACTACATTTACTAATCACTTGAACACAAACCCACTAACATGCATATCTCTACAAGCAATTGTAATTCCCTGCCGTATCCACAACAACAGCGATAAAAACTTGTTTTGTTATTTTTTGTTGACAGTGACAAGAATATCAGTACGAAAACAACCATAATTCTACAGTTGAAATATTCTTATTTAGTTTGGGGTTTTAGTGCTAGATACTGTTTGAACCATTTATAAAATGGTCAATTCTCGTCCATTGGTAGAAACAATCGAAGCGACTTTAATTTATGGTGCGACACGTAACTTTCACGAGACCAAAAGGATTTTTAATGATCGTTTCCCGAATCGTCCTGTCTCTAGAAAATATTTAAGGGAACTTGCATCTAAATTTACAGCTACTGGTAGTGTAAACAACAAAAAGGAATAAAAACAAGTTCAAACAATTGGTGAGATCATAGTAAATCCCCAACAGTCTACTTCTTCCATCGCGAATGTATGTGAGGTTTGGGCTTCTACTGTATGGAGACTTTTGAAAAAGAATAAGTATCCCCCATACAAAATTCAAATGGTACATCAGCTAACTGAAGATGACCCAGATCGAAGAACATAATCCTGCGAGACTATGACGGAAACCATTGCTCGGCATCCTACCTATATCCAAAATATGTTTTAGTGATGAATGTACATTTTTTCTCAACGGTAATGTGCATAGACAAAATTGTCGTTATTGGAGTGACAGCAATCCTCACGTCTTCCGGGAAACTAGTTCTCAATATCCACAAAAAAATAACGTTTGGGCTGGGATATGGGAAATCATATTCATCGAACAAACTTTAACCGGGGAACTGTATTTGTGTATGCTGGAAAATACTATTGATCCTCTAATCACCGAAATCGTCGAAGCGAATCCTAATGAATTCGATACTGATATTGTATTCCAGCAAGATGGCGCTCCACCACACTACTACAGACAAGTTGGGAATTATATAGATAACAATTTCCCTGGTCGTTGGATTGACCGTCGAGGTCCTGTGGAATAGCCAGCTAGCTCACCAGATTTGACACCTTTAGGCCCAATTTCACCAACATTAATATTTGACGGTCCCTTGGACCAATGGGAAAATAGATTATCGCAATGCAATTTGACAGAAGCTGTCAAAGGTCTCCGAATATCAGTGATTTCTATTGAAATGTTGAATAAAGTCGTGAAAAAATGGTTGCCTTATAAATAAGGGTACCTTATAGATGTAATATTATGTCTTTGTGCTTTAGAATTAGGATAACTTTCATAGAATTTCCAATTTCACACATAACGGTCAGTTATGTAAATGGACCAATCAAAATGATAGAAGTAGTAATAGGTCGATTTTCTAGCTATTATGTTGGTTAGGATGTTTTCCCTGTTTTTGACGACTGTTCATGCATGGCAATCTAGTTTTGTCTGTATGTCACGTACATAGTGTTGTACAAAATTAGTACCTGTAGAAATGTACGGATTTTTGCAATTTTTCAAAAAAAAAGGATATAAAACGTATTCCAATTGGTTCATCATCTTTTGTTACATCAAAAACAATTTTTGCCAATTTATGATCTAGAAATCCACACCAAATATAAACAAACAGCTCATTCTGCATTTCAGGGTCCTAAAACATCGATATTTGTAAAAGTATTCGCATCCACCTACTATTCATCGTCTAGACTCTAGATATTATAAGTCAGAATCAAAAATACCTATTTATGGAAACATATCTCCAAACATTGTTTTATTTTCTTATTTTTATTATTCTTATTTTTATTATTATTTTATATTTTATTCTTATTTTTATTATTAGTATAACACATCTGGGACACAAAACATATACACTGAAGAAGGTTCAATTCTATGCTACTCAATGGCAACACGGTGACTTGTATGGTTGTCCGCGGCCATTTTTTGAGGGTGCGACATGGTTATCATATTATGCACCAGCAACACTGCTTTGTTTCCAGTATGAGTTTTACCCCCCCCTGGTCTGGGATATCAATTGCTTTCAATTAAAGTGAACTGCACATCTGCAGTGTTGCCGAACCGGCAAAAAAACGGAATCGGCAAATAGTGTCGTTGAATTCGGTATAAGGTAAATGCCGTCCCAAGATCAGTGGTAGATCAAGGACCTTTGAGTCATAAAAGACGTCTGTTATTGCATTGGGCGCGCACACAACATGTTTTTTGAGGGCATAGTTCAATATTACAACTTCTACAATGTGCATACTGGTCGTTCTTTCAAAGTACTTTGCAACCATTCTGGAAACGTCTTTTTCGATTCTTGCTTATAGTATTGTATTTATTTTTCTGTTTTACCCTGAACTCATGAACTCACCTCTCATTTTAATTAAATATATATTTTGAAAACAGGCAGGTTTCGGTTTGTTTATTGCTTGTCCGGTGGTGAGGTAATGACGGTAATCTACCAGTCTGTACCTTTTGTATGCACAAAAAACAAGTCAGGGCAAGTGTGGTAAGGGATGAAGATGTACGTTCGAAATCATAGGCAACCCAAATCTACCCCTCTCATGTGCCCGGCTGCCTGAGTGTGTATGCATATGTATGATTGATATGGAGCATAAAGCTATAAAGACTACATAAAATTAACTTTTAGCTTTATTTTTGGTTTCAGCTCTTTTTCGGCAAGTGTAGAAATATTTAAATTATTTTGAAAAATCGTGGAGAATGATGTTATCGGTAAATATTCTCTCCGGTTCAAGTCCATGCATAGACATTCTGAAATTTCAAATTCAAATTCAAATTCAAAATATTTATTTCGTCATGAATAAACATCATAAACAAAAGAAATTCTATATATAGAGTAATGACGAAAAAGGACAGTCTCTCGATTATAAAACCGATACATTGGACCCTTTAATACAAAGAGTCCATGCGAGAAAGCACTGAATGCCCTGAAAGCCCTGAATTTGCAATATGAATTTATATTCTACATTCTATGCATATCCGTTCATATTCGTCAATATTTCATTTGAAGCCTTTATTTGTGAAGATGTTATCAAAATGTAAGATAGTAAAGGCAACACCGCACCCTGCAGCCCAGTTGACAAGAACGACAAGCTGTCAAGATTAGGGATGTTTAGATCCACGAAAAGTATCGTTATGTATCGATTTCTATCGTTTTAGGAAGTATCGATACTCTAAAATATTGGAATAAAATTATCGATATCCAGCGGAAGAAAAGTAATCTGAAGTTAGTCACTCTTTCTGACACAGTCCGGATCGAAAGATGACGATACTCGTGAAATGTATTGATACTCCTAAATACAGGATCGTATCGAACATCCCTACTGTCAAGATGTATAACCCGAGGTACCGACAGAGCTATTTTGCGGCGTCATGGAAATAATTTTAAATTTTCATATGCATTTTTTCAAGTGTTGTGCAACGATTTTGGGAAAAAGTCCACGAATAGTCTTATAAAGCATAGTAGAGTATATTTCAACAGTTGGCGGAACTTACTCCTCTGAGACCAGGGGGGTGAAACGGGATAGTAATGCACAATCTGGCAACCATGTCGCACCCTCAAAAAATGGCCGCTGACAACCACACAAGTCACCGTGTTGTCATGGAATAGCATGGAATTAAACTTTATTCAGAGTATAAATGTTTTGTGACTGTACCAAGGGTTGCCAGATCCCACACATGTGAATCAGCTGTATTCAAATAATGTCTAATATAAATATAACCTAGAATGTGTACTCGTGAAAAAAGAAAAATATCGCAAATTTTTAATTTTTGTGGTTTTAGGTTTGCTGGTAGCTTTAAGACATATACTTGGGAACTTATTAATCGCTGTGAATATAGTGTGGATGTTTGTTCGGTTCATGAACAACGCAAAATATTCAACTTTATGGATGTATGGATATCAAAAGACTTGAATGGTTTTGTGGGAATATCAATCTCGGGTGCCATAATGGTTCTGATGAACGGCAAGTAAATGAATGAATGTTTGGAAACGAGCAATATCTATGAACTTTTTGGTAGAGCCTGTCATCAAGTAGGTACTTACTGGCTATTTGCAAGAGGTTTATAGGAAAAGAACACACGGTGTGTATGTTGAATCAGTAAAATAGCATATCAATTGAAGAAAATAATATAAACATGAATAAAAAATGAACAACAGTAATTAAAACATGAATGTAATTCAAAAATCAAACATTTCTTTAAATTATGACTGAATTATAAGTAATTTCTTAATAGTCAATAAGTTGGTGATATTTCAATGACAAGTTGTCATCTCATACTTTGACAGTGTTTTGTTTTCGACATTTCATAGCTATTGGTTGCTAAAATTTGTTGATCGGAACTTGAAGCTCATTCGCTGTATCTGACAGTCTGTTATCCTATTGGTTGAGAATAACAGACTGTTGTTGGTGAAATTGGCCCTTAGACTTTTTTTATGGGGCTATTTGAAGCAAAAGGGTGGAAGGGTGGAGGAAACTGAACCTGGTTCAATATTGGATATACGGCTGAGAATAACAAATATTTGTAGAAATATCGATGTTACTATGTTTGAAAATGTTCGACGCGAAATTACGGACCGGCTGTTATTGTGTCAAGGAGCTCAAGGCAACCATTTTCAGCATCTTATAAACTGAAATCAACGTATTTATTCGAATTATCAAGTTAAATGTCAATGTATTCAGGTAATTATTAAATGTACCACCATTTTGTAGAGGTAAAGGTATCGACTTTATATTCTAGGGTTATAAAGTACTCGTCAGGAGCTTCAAAATCATGTGCCACAAGACCCCCATTTTCATATAATTTTTTTCCAAAATGGCGTCCAGAGACCATCTTGACATTTTCATGTGTCAATTTTACTCTAAAATATGGGATCCACGCATCAATTTCATTATCTCTTTAATTTTCTGAATTGATCCGTTCAAAATATCAAAGGGAAGGGGACATTAAAGAAAATCACTGTATATATATTTATGTGAAAAAATAAAGCTTCCGCCTTTAGTTGGTTACTTCGACAAGATTAAAACGATAAGGACTCTTTATACTTTATTAGTCTCTAGCTTTCGACGGGCTATGCATTCATCTTCAGGAGCTACAATAATATTAGGAAGAAATAGCAACTACTGTACAAAATGATTTTAAATTGCTTACAATAGTATGTGAGATTGTTGCTTAATGTTATTAAAGGTTAAGATGAGGGAAACATTTAGTACCCTGGTGAAAGCTCGATCCATGGTACATTCATTAAAAATGGTAAAAAAACGCACACAGCTGAATGTCAGGAACACATCATAACGGATTAATATTTGGAATGAAAGTTAAAATTATTACATGTTACATCGTGAAACAACCACTTGATGCTGCACAAGATGGTGTAGGACGGGATCATAAGAAGCATGAAACATTTGACAAATGACATGCAGCTGTGTGCGTTTTTTTACCATTTTTAACAAATGTACCATGGATTTAGCTTTCACCTGTTTGCTAAATGTTTCCCTCAACTTAACCTTTAATAAAATTTAGCATTCTATTGTCAGTAATTTAAAATCATTTTGCACAATAGTTGCTATTTCTTCCTAATGTTATTGTAGCTCGTGAAGATGATGGCATAGCCCGTCGGAAGCTAGATACTAATAGAGTATAAAGAGTCTTTATCACTTTAATCCTGTCGAAGTACCCAACTAAAAGCGGATGCTTTATTTTTTCACTTAACTGGTTGTTAGATGACAATGACCACGTCTCAAGTTATATATAAGGGTGTCCGCAAAGTTGGGGTTTTCCTTTACACGACGTGTAGATCTTGAAAACATAAGCAATTTTTCTTAGTACCATATACACCAATGTCTTAAGGGAACCGAGATAAAGGGCTCTGCAACATGAAAAATATCTGAATACCGTCCTGTAGGCGCGCCATCACGGAGTGGTACAATGTCACTGGCTCAACGACAGAACTGGGTCGGGGGTCGGGGTCAGTGTGTCAGGTCAGTATGCAACCTTCAACCGATGGTTACGGTCACGCCTGTAGAGGTAATTCCGTAGACGATAATCCCTCAACAAGCACTAGAGACGTGGCTAGAGAATTGCAAGTATCAAAAACTAAAGTGTGGCAAACGCTGCGTGAAGACGGGCTACATCTGTTTCACGTCCAACGTGTACAAGCCCTTCAACCTGACGATTTTCCAGCAAGAGTGCGGTTTTGTGAGTGGTTGTTGCATCAACATGACAATAATCCGGACTTTTTGAAGTGCATATTGGTGACAGACGAATCTACATTCACGCGTAATGGGGTGAATAACTTTCGCAACACTCATGTTTGGTCAGTAGAAAATCCACGCTGTCCGTCGGGCACATTTTCAACAAACATTTTCGGTGAATGTTTGGGCTAGCATGGTGCGTCGGCTCGGTAATGCATCAGCTGATTTTATTTTCTGTTGGAGCGGTATGATTTCGGGCAGAGACGTACTTAGCCCTTCTCGTCAACTGGAGAGTGAGGACTTTTTCCTTTATTTTTTTTACTTGGTCGCCCTCGTTTCACTACACATTAGCTTTGTTATTTCAAGCGTAGTTGTTTCTGAAAAGGAAAACCCCAACTTTGCGGACACCCTGTATATATATATATATATACACATGTCCATCCATCCGGATACGGGTTATATTTATTTGAGGCCTTCTAGCCATTATATATATATATATATATATATATATATATATATATATATATATTACGTAAGCAGTAGTCATTGCCATTGCCAACGACCAGTTGGGCAAAATATACAATTGATTATTAATTGGGAAATTGCCAAACTTTTAGGCTTTAGTTAACTCTTTTGACGATAAAATCAAGCTTTCGGCGATTCTCTATGGAACTTTCATCAGGATCTGAAAACACAATTGTGATGCTAGCAACCAATACATGAACGACTTAAATTGTATAGCATCTTACTCGTCGTTGAGGTTGCAGCCAAATGGTGTTTCAAAACGAACGTAGAGATGAGAGCACTTGTTACAAATATAAACATAATCGGATGGAAACATTGGGCTTATTGATAACGACAGATACCTTCGTTATGTGTTACAATTATCAATACACCCGAACATATTAAAAATTATTAAACATGAGAAGACATTTTAGGGAAACAATCGGAATGCAGTTTGTAACCTCCTACTTCTGCTACACGTGGAGAGGTGGACGGCACGGAACGATAATGCGTCGACAGATGACATGTGATTGACGCGATGGAATGTGGTACTGTAAACCTCAATGTCCAATTTGGGTATGAAGTATACGAGGGACGCTCAGTAAACCTCAACCCAAATTACCAAAATGCTGAATTAAATTTGTTCTGGAAAAGTGTGTAGTTCATATGAGTGTACGAATGTAAGATAGTGACACACACTTGAAAGGATGGGTTCTGTGAATTGATATTAACGATTGTGTGAGAAATTTCAATTAACAGGATAAGCAATTGGAAATGTATTTCAATTTTGGGACGACGTTGGATCGATTTGGATATGTAGCCGTTCTAACTTTTCGCAATTCAACAGCTATTAATAAATGACACTAAGCTGCTTAACATCAGCCTTTTTATACATGCAATGATCTGTCATGAAAATGTGGGACATTTCTAAAAATCAACGTTTTGAGAGCCTTTTTTCTTTTTCAAGAACCTCAATACTGCCACAATTCATAGAGTGACCTGTGCTGTTAATATGTGATGCCAAAGAACATCTCTCTGGATGAAATCTGGCGTCACTTTTGCGTGAAGTTATCCTGCCTTTCAGTGATCTCGAAGTTTGGCATATATAAACTAAATTACAGTTTTTGCAATTAATGCGATAGACAGTGTTGGTTGAATCAAGCAACTGAACCTTATCCTTCATTTTGGACAACAAACTGTTGACTGTGAGCACTGATTTGATCAGTTTTGGTGTTAGTTCTTTGATGTATGGCAAGACAACATAATTGACTCTGGAAATAGGAGCAACCACTGTAGAGCTGTTGATCTCATTGGTTGAAGAGTTCATGGGCGTCTGGTTGGACCGAACAGTGTTGTCATTTTCACTATTGTTATTCGCAATTGGCAAAATATTCGGAGGAGAGCTGAACAAGATTCTGTTAACCAAATACTTCGGATAACCATTGTTGATGAATAAGACTGAAAGCTTCCTTAAATTTGGAAGATGGAAAGTACTGTCAGAGATTTTTATTACCCTGTTCTTCATTTGTTTCATCAGGTTTATTTGTATTTTAGGTTCGTGGTAAGACCTGAAGTTCAGGAGCCTTCCGGAAGAAATTGGTTTCCTGTACCAGTCTACCAGTAATCTATTATCTATCTTGAGTCCAAAAAGGGAACATATTGATTATCATCTTCTTTTTCGCTTCTGAACTGAATGTTGGGATCATAGCTGTTAAAAACTTCAACAATATCATCCAGACAAACGATAATATCGTCCACATATTTATAAAGATTAGATCATATGGCAATGCCTGAATAACAATATCACGCAGGTCATCAATCACAGATTCTGCCAAAATTGGAGATAACACTGAGCCCATGAGGCAACCATGTGTTTGTGAGAACACTTTGTTATTAAAAGTGAAATAATTGTTCTGGAAAAATTACTCTAAGATATTAATGAAAGAAAAGCCGAAAGCACGAGATTACCGTTAATAGAGTTTACTAAACCCTAAAAAAATGTTGCCAATTTCCCAATTAACAATAATTGATTGTATTTCTTGCCCAACTGGTCGTTGGCAATGGGAATGACTACTGCTCGCGTATATATATATATATATATTTATTTATATATATATATATATTTATATATATATATTTATATATATATATTTATATATATATATATATATATATATATATATATTTAAACCTAACTCACTTACTAGGTTAAACTGCATGAAAAGAAGGACTCAAGGCTTACTCCAACGTTTGATAACCAGAAATCTGTATTATTTGGCTCTACAAATTGCCAAGTATCTAAAATTGTCCGAAAAAGATGGATCCAGCTATATACTTGTGCATTGGGCCAAATATAAGGTATGTAGCGTGCACTGAATTATTTTTCTTAGGTAATTCTTTAGGATAAAACTATTATCTTTAGTGAAAGTTAATTAATCTGACATCACCATTCACGTGCGTCACATTACACATAAGTGAGTATTTACTACATTAGTTCTGTTTTGTCTGGGATAGTTGCTTATAGAATTCGATTATTTTTGTTGATTTTATAATCCCAGACTGAGCATTGATTAACGTATTCAAGCTGACGGTAGCCAGCTTCATTCAGCAAACCAGCGTTTACACCACAAAACATATACACTGAAGAAGGTTTAGTCACGTGCCATCCATCAGGCAACACGGTTGAGTTATGTCAGTGTCAATCGCTATTTTTTCTGGATGCCACACTGTGCACAACCACCTCATGCGACGTTGTCGGCTCTTCGCATAAATCTGAGACTGACGGAGTGATTGTTTTTTCTGATAAAATGTATTTTTTATTACATGGCTCTATTCTTGCCTTTTTAACCAACAACATATGACTATTAGTTTCTGAAAATTCGCCGTGTTTTTATGATCTTTCTCAATGTTGAGTTCAGCGACTCTATCGCGGGTGGAAAATCAGTTGTATAACTTTATAGTAAGCATTTCTAATGATATATGGCAGATTTTATAACGCCATGTGTTATTAACATATTTTTGCTGTAGTAAGTAGTGACTTATTTGTTGAAGCAGCAGCGTCAATAACACAGGCCATTATAAAATCATAGATATACCCTGGTTATTTGAAAATTTGAAAACAGTAAAAAATCTATACCTGAGAATATATTTTTATCTAAATTTTGTACTAGCTGACCCGACAGACGTTGTCCTGTCTTAGCTATGAATTGGAATGAATAAGGAATAATAAAAGGGTAAATATATGGAATATAGGTAATTGTACAGGTATAGCGAAGTGTTTGTACCGCAAAGTGGCTAGCAAAATACGTTGGCAGCATCGTCATTCCCCCATCGACTTACCTGGAAAGTAGGCATAAAATTAAGTGGAATTTTGTTGCGCCAAATAACGTCATTGAAAAACAATTATTGTATTGCTGGATATGAGTCAAAAAATGTATAGAATCTGGCCCAATTTCTGGAAATCAATGAATGTAGTGACTCTGGTGGTGGTACCAATGGAGTCAATTTGATCCTTCCACTGACGCAACATAATCCAGGTGCTTCATTTTTAAACTTGAAAGCCTTGCAATGTGGACTCGCAACGTTCATTAGTCCAATAGCAACGATTTGTTGTGAACTGTAATCGATTGCAACGTCATAATTAAATGCATCTAATGCACTAATACGTTGTTGCATTTCACTCCTTCGGTCCGTTCAAGTTCATTTTTCGCTTCTCGTTGCTCGTCAGCATTGCGAGTTCTGCGACCTAGGTTGGTACGTCTAATTGGTGGTATTTTAATATAAGGCGTGATTGCGGTGAACTAATTTCCACACTTGTTAATTGTTTTTGAACAAATATAGTACTTCTCAGAAAACTCACTGAACAAACCTAAAATTGGATAAAAGCTCTAATCGAATGGACTGTGCACTTCTAATTAAATAAAACATTTTTTCATCGATAAACACTGTTAAACGATAATACAAAATTGCGGCGTGCGAGCTGTCAAGTTCAAAATGATAGAGTAGTGAAAGTCAATTAAGCAAAAGAAACGTATTTTCATCAGCCATTTTAATTTATAGAGTTAACTGACAAAGATAACAGTGGCCATCACAAAGTACGGATGGTAAAGAAATGTAAGTCCAAAAACGAACGCATCGTGTTTTCATAAGCAACTTGTCAACTGTCAATAGCTATTGGAACGACGATTCTCCAGCAAGAGTGCGGTTTTGTGAGTGGTTGTTGCATCAACATGACAATAATCCGGACTTTTTGAAGTGCATATTATAACATAACATAGCATAACTTTCGCAAGGTCAGTAGAAAATCCGCACGCTGTCCGTCGGGCACATTTTCAACAAACATTTTCGGTGAATGTTTGGGCTGGCATGGTGAAAGGTATGCTCAATGGACCATTTATTCTCCCAAATCGATTGGACGGGATGCAATACCTAGACTTTTTACGCAACATTTTGCCTTCCTTGTTAGAAGATGTGCCATTAAGTGTAAGACAATCAATGTGGTTTCTACGTCTGCTCGGTAGCGCATCAGCTGATTTCATTTTCTGTTGGAGCGGTATGATTTCGGGCAGAGACGTACTTAGCCCTTCTCGTCAACTGGAGAGTGAGTACTTTTTCCTTTATTTTTTTTACTTGGTCGCCCTCGTTTCACTACACATTACCTTTGTTATTTCAAGTGTAGTTGTTTCTGAAAAGGAAAACCCCAACTTTGCGGACACCGGATTAAACACCTATTTCGGCCAATGGTCGAAAAAAACGACCAGAACGCGTTCTGGCCACCAGCATATTGCCAATGTACGAAAAATCGCTTTCTGGCCGTTTAGTATAGATCAAAATGCTGGCTATCGTCATATTGCCAGAACGCGTCGAGCATACAAACAAAACGTCCAAAGTCCAATTTAATATAAAAAAAATATATGATGCTTATATAACAAGTTTCAAAATAAAAAATAAATAAATAACTTTAGTTTTAACAGAAACAGAAAACATTTACTATATAATAACTTGTGCTTTAGGGGTATCGGCATACCTACATCTACTTATTTTTACACGAACCTATCCATGGCACTAGTAGACATTCTTGCACGGCTTAACGAACAGGTTAACCGACGCGACGTACATCGACTACGCGATGATCATTTACTGCGAGTAGTAGTCAGTAGGGTGGTTTAGATTCGATACAAGCTTAGACTCGTAGAAAATCGGGTTTTCGACATTTTGTTTGTATGCTCGTCGTGTTCTGGCAATATGGCGATAGCCAGAACGCATTTTGATCTATACTAAACACCCAGAAAGCGATTTTTCGGATATTGGCAATTTGCTGGTGGCCAGAACGCGTTCTGGTCGTTTTTTTCGATCATTGGCCGAAATCGGTGTTTGAACCTAAAATATAGAGAAAATGATCATGCGAAGAAAGGTACTTAATTTTCCTATTTTTTGTTATATATATATATTACAGATTCCGATAGTTAGGTCCTCCACTTATTGGCTTTTTAGAGTCGATAGGTCCTCCGTTGCGCTAGGTCCTCCGTATATGGAGGACCTATCGCAAATTTCACCAGTCGGCCTGAGGGGCTCCCCTTTGTCACCTGGCAAAATTCCAGAGGGATGACCCAAATCGTGTTTTTGCTAAATTTGGGTACCGTAGTTCCGGGCTTTGCCGCGCCGATTTAGTGGACTCACAGTCGCGCGGGTATTCAGCCCGTATACTTTCAATCAAGTCTACAGTGGATAGGTCATCTGCCGGGTATTCAGTATCTAGATTGTCGCCTTTAGGTCCTCCTTAATATTGGCATCGCTGTATTAGGCATTATTTTGCAAGAGGATTGGATTATCATCTTCCTATGTCTGCAACGGCCTAGTACGTAGTCAAGTATTACACACGAGCGGCCGTGACGGGGAGTACCGTAATGCAGCGATGATATTGTTCGAATGTATAGCTCAAATCCAATATTCTATGGAATAAGATAAAAGATGTTATTTTTGTTTTACGATTTAAGACAGATGCCTTTACTTACCGCGCCTATTGACAGGAATTATTGTAATCATAAAAAAATCTGCTACAGGTTGCTGTTATGCCATGCACAAAGAAACCTTGAATATTCTCGGAAATCGGTGGTGTAACAAACGAAGAAAAAAATGGTCAAACTTCGCTTTCAGATGTTTCAGATATTCCTGCAAGAAATTTTGGTGGCGGGGGTTACGGGTGGCGGAGCTAGTATTAAACAACGATAAAACTAAAAATCGTTTAAAGAATTTCTGAATACTTCAGAGCTTCCTAATCATTTTCCAAATAATCTTTGGGGGTAGGGGGGCTGAGGGAATGAGGTGAATCTGGATTTGGCTAGGTGTTAGTTAAAGGTATTCTATTATCAATAAACCTTCAGATCGACTTCCTGAACATCAATCATCCCGCTTCAGAGGTAGTTCTTCTCGGTGATTTCAATGCCTGTAATGAGCTTTGGTTGGGCTCAAACAAGACCGATGCAGCAAGTCGTGCAGTCGAAGCGTTCGCTCTTACTCAAGGGCTGACCCAGCTGATGACGAGCCTTACTTTTTTCCCTGCGTCTCGTCACACGCCAGTAGCCTGCTGGATCTCTTTCTGACCACTCATCCTGTCCCTTACAGCACTGATGTTCTGTCCCCCCTGGGTAACTCAGAGCACGGTGATGTGGAGGTTAGATTTCGGTCACAACCCGCTGCGGCAGCAGAAACTCGTACAGGCCGCAAAACTTGGCTTTACGGACATGCCGACTGGGAGGGGCTCAGAGACTTCTTCTCTCTCTCGCGGCGCAATGGCAGTCGGTCTTTCTGGACGCTGGCCAGGCATATTGAAAAGAACTTCTCACACAGCAGTAGCCTTCCACCACTTACGTGTCAGGATGGAACTATTGTATTCGACTCAAAGGCCCAAGATCTTTGCTGAAAACTCCACTATGGACGTCCCCCCCAACGCCCAAGTGTCGTCAATTCAAAGGGTTCCCTGCACTATGCGGGAGGTAACATTCAGGCATGAGACCGTAAGACGAGTGCTCTTGTCGCTCGATATCAACAAAGCTTCTGGTCCGGACTTGATTCCTGCCATTATACTGAAGAGGTGTGCAGCGCAGCTTGCTCCAGTTCTTCTGTGTCTCTTCCAGATTTATTATGAATCCGGCACCTTCCCAGAAAACCGGCACCAATCCACAAGATACCTCCTAGCTTATGTCACGCAATTGTGGAGTAAACTCATCCAGTCTTATGGTGGTGTCGTTGCCCTTGACATCACGAAAGTATGACAATGTTCGCACTTAACAAAATAATTGTCATTAAAATTCAAATATTCGTTGAGTCATGACATCAGCTTTTCAACCCGTAAATCATT